TAAGTTGGGGAACTAGGGATCGAGCCCTGGTACCTACATCAGCTACTTCGAATTGGGAAATACCGTTTCAGTGTGCCCTTCATTTGTTTTACTTTTATTTTTAACAAAAAGCAGCGGTTTTAATATATAAAATCATTTAAATCAATTAGGCCGGAAAGTGCGCTTACATGATGATATATAATTTGTGAAAGTGTGCCGCTTCCATGGCAGACGAGTGTGTGGGCACTTGGCGCTTAACAGGACGAGCGCCGCCAACCTTGCATCTTCTACTATATTGCCTATTGATACCTTTTTTCCTTTTCGTGGATGGCTTGTGATGATTTGTGGATGGAATGAGAGATTTTTTTTTTTTTTTTCCACACATTTCTTGATGCTTCAGTTGGTCTAGTTTGGTGGTCACTCAGCAATTTACTTGGTGGAGGGTTGACTCTGTATCATGACGGTTGGACACTGAGGCTTGGGCTCTGCATTCCAAGGAGGGTTGCAGACGACACCAGCTGTGAAATCACAATTGTTATAGTGTAGTGATCCAGCTTCCACCTGTCAACCACACCCCTCTCACTCTCGGATTCTGTTTGCAAAATTTCCTTTTTCTTCCAGGCAGAGTCATACCAGCTAATCTAGTAGGAGCTTAATTTTCCCTCGTGAGTGCTTCTCACATCCTAACATGGAGGCATGGGGAACACATCCCCTTCAGTGCAAACTTTTGGGTCAAAACTTTTGGGTCAAATTTCTTGTCATGTTTTTTTGTGTGGTTCACATTAGAAAGATAACATGCAAGTTGCTGAAAGTTTGTTTTTTTGGAATGCTTGCACGCCTTGACTTTTTGAGACGTCCCACAAACTCCACTGCTTGTCGCCCTTACGTCATTTATCCAGGGATTGGCCAATCCAGGTCGAGAGGAGCATCCCAAGGCAAATAGCTGTGACAAGGGCAAAGAAAGACTGGGAGGCAGATGTTCTGCAAAGATTCAAGTCGATGGTACGTAGCACTATGTATGTTTGAAAGCAATTGGCACATATTGATACTCTTCAGGAATCAGGATGGATGCTGCATGTTTCCTGTGACTGCAAAATGAGAGGAGGGAACTTCTTGAAGTCAAGGATAACAAAGATGCCGCTTACTCTATCCTGTCTTGGTGTACTTTGTGGAAGTTGCTGTTTAGTTTCTGTGCTGTTGAGGCGTTGTTGGTCGCAAAAGAAACTCTGATCTCTGCTTTATCCACACAAAGAGCCTGTTGAAGTTCTGTGAGGTTAGTCTGGTCTCATTCCTAGTAATGTGGCTCTCAGCCACCAGCTAATGAGTCAGGCGAGGAAGGGATGCGTGTCCCATGCATGTCGTGAGGGAGGGGAACATGCATGTCTCTGCAAGCAATATGTGTACACTTATAAAAGTTGCTAATGTGATAATTTTGGCATCCGGGCCGTCCGCAATGTTTGGACTATCGGTAGGGCCCTGTGTTTTTCTTTTGTAGAGGACCAGTTCGCAGCCCAACGGAAGTTCGGGCTGCCAGGCCAGGGAAAAAAAACGGTTCCAGGCGCATATCTGTGGCGTGTGGTGCATAGCGAACTTTAGACGCACTCACATGGACGGCCTCGTGCTCGCCCGTGGAAGCACACGCACAAACACACAAGCACGCACGCGCGCAAATGCATCGTGGGCAGACTGTCGGGGTTCAACCTCCTGATGAGTTGGTGAAAGTCCATAGAAACAGTCTGGCTCAGTCATGCTTTTCTGGGGGGTTCATACAAACACACCAAGAGAGTGTGTGTGTGTGTTACATGCTGCGCCTGCAACAGGCTGCACGGGCCCCCTTTCAGGCCCTCGACGTTTTCAGGCCAAAAGCCTGAAAACAAGGGCCTACAGGCCCTGTGTCGTTTCAGGCTAAATCAGGGCCTTTCCGGCCCTCAGTATTTTCAGCCTGAAACTGAGGGCCATTTTCAGGCCCTCATCAGTCCCGACCCGCCCTGAAACTCAGGTAACAAACCAGGGTTTTAGCACAGGCCATTTCAGGCGTGTTTTCAAGACAACCCCTGGTTGAGCTTCAACTGCCAGGGTCTGGCACGTTTCGGCATTGGCAAGAGCAGCCTCCTGGACGGGCCAGCACTATATAGGACTGGCCCGCCCTGCAGGCAGGTAGGTAGTTCCTAGGTACTACCCAGGCACTTCACGTGCAGTTCAGGAGGCAGGAGGTAGTCTTCAGGATTCAGCAGCAGCACTCTGGAGGAGCTCTGCAGGAGTAGTTGTAGCGCTAGCAGTAGTCTTCAGCGCTGGGCGCCATAGGAGCTAGAGTAGTACTAGAGAGAGAGAGAGAGATTGGGCGGAGGCCAGGGATACTTACCTGCAGCGCCATAGCTCCAGCTTCGTCTTCGAGGTACCTGCAGCACAGCGCCATTTTCACAGGTTAGTACCTGGCATATGAGAGAGAGAGAGTTCTTCTTCTTCCCCTTCTCAGTCGACCATCTCCCTCTCACCCTCTCGCTACCTGACTTCACTGCATCTGCAGACTACGAGAGAGTGAGAGCTTGGTGACATTTGGATCCAGACTCGACATTTGGGCTTCAGACATTTGGACGAGGGATTATTTGGGACTTGTGACAAAGACTTGGTGTTGACGACATTCCCATCTCTCCCCCTCGTCCTCGTCTGTTCCCCTCCTCTTCGTCTGTGCATGATCAGGGCCTGGCACCTTCTTCCTGTGTATAGTGCCAGGTCTCTTCACACCTTGTGATGAGGATGATGTATGTTTGGTCTGCGTTGCAACATTGATTGGGCTAGTCATTGGTATTCTAGCATTCTGCTGCGCTGTCTTACACTACGTGATAGAGGTCAGTCCCGGTCAGGTCAGGACTTGTATCTAAGTCTTCCCCTGCGCTATAAAGCACCATCTTTGTATGTATCAGGATGTGCACTGCTTATTGAGATTTCACTTACACTGCATTGTCCATTCAGTCTTTTCATCACATTGCGGATCCTCGTTTTTATATGTACATCACCCAACTGGGCATGTAACAGTTGGTATAGGAACACTGCACGGACAACCTGATCTGACATGTGTGCGGGGACTAAGTAGCTGATTAGTCTTGATTGATTGATTAGAACACACTAGTTAGCCCCCAAAATCACGATTTTGACCTCACTGCCGAAAATCAATTTTTCTTTTTTTCTTTTTTTGGATTTCGTTTTCTCGCTATTTCTGCTGTGGAAAATCGCAATAGCGCAACATCTGAAATTTCCGTTTTCGTTTTTCTTCTGAAAATTCGAAATTTCGTTGTTGGAAAATCCGGAATATCTTTTTTTTCGGAAATTTCGATTTCCTTTTACAATTTCCCGTTATCTAGAAATCCGGAAATTTTTTTTTCCGAAATTCATTTTTTTTAAAAACAGTACGGGAAATCCCTCTTGCAGTACCATTTTCCAAACTGCGAATAGTCTCATCTGAGTAAGTCCGAATACTTGTTATTTCTTTTCAGAGTTTTTCTTATTCACAGTTCTGTGATTTTCACTACCTGATAATCATTGGCAGTGTGATGACCCGTCCATACATGGACTGAAACACAGCTGATTTCTGAGTTGTGCCCATAGACTGAGTGCCCTGCTGAGTTTCCCGCTTGCTACTAAGTCTGTGTGTGCACGCTTGCTGGACTGCATGTCTGTCTGAGTGCTGGATGGCTTGAGTGTGTGTGTGACCATGCCTGTCTGAGTGCTGATGGGCATGAGTATGTGTGTGGCCCGTCAGGGCACTTGCTCGTTCGTTGGGCCCTCAGGGCCGGTACTTACCTGTGGCCGTGACATTGAGGGGTTGCTGCGGGGAAAGACACTCAGGTAACAGGTAGGCCGGTACCGCACCTGGAAGGGGTAGATGTGCAGGTACTGGAGGCCGAGCAGAAGAAGACAAAAGTGGCATTTTTACAGGCCCAGTAGTTGTAGGTTAGGTCTAGGCAGATATCAGTCCAACCAGTCTGGGTCTAGGGCCTGTACGGGCAATATCAGAGTCTGCAATGATGTTTCCCTCCGAAAGGGAGGAGGTACCGGTTGCTTGGGAGGCCGAGCGGCCTCGAAGTCACCGCCCAAGAGGCAAAGCAGGCCGCTATATCTTCTGGCCGGGCTGAGAGTCCGGCCTCTATTTCGGTGTGCAGGTTTGGCGACACACTGGTGGAGCACTGGCTGGAGCAGCGCTAAGCTGGAGCAGCGCTGCTGGGGAGGAAGGAGAAGGACACGAGGGAGGAAGGAGGAAGAAGGAAGGAAGGGGGGAGGAGCGCCAGGGTACTTACCTGGCTATGGTGGCAGCCATCTTCATCACCTTGGTGGGCGCTGCAGCAGGGAGTCCCCAGCTGGGGAGAGCTACACCAAGAAGCTTTGGGGCAGGGGCAGGCATGGCGGCCTGAGCTAGAGCAGCTATAGCTGCTTTGGGTTGTCCTTTGGGCATCTGAGCGGAGCCCAGTAGTCCGCCATAGCCTCGGCCTATGAGAGTGAAGAGTGGGAGAGGCGGCCATGGCTATGGTGGACCTTAAGTGAAACCTGCAGTAGAAGAGGGACTCGGACATTGATTCTGGATCAGTCATTCAACATTGTATTATTATATCTCGTATGAATAAGAGAAGGGGGAGATAAGAGGGAGGAGATTGCTGGGCGAAGAAGAAGAGCCTTGTTATTGTCTTTGCTCGTGTACATCTTCTTCTTCTTTCTTGCTTCTTCTTCTTCTTCCAATCCTCTCTCTCTCCTCTCAATTTCATTCATTTCTTTCTGCAATTGGATGTGTTCTTTCCGGTGGATGTGTATCTCGAAATTGGCCAGGGTCATAACAGCAGTCTGAAAGTTCGGAATTTTTTTTCTCATACTGAACTTGCAAAACTCGGGATTTTTATTTTCTCGAAAAAAAAAATTCGCAAAGTTCAAACTTTTCGTTTTTGATTAGTGGCTCCTTATCTGGGCGATTTATCCCCACCCACCCCTCCCCACCTATGTTGTTGCCCCCTCTGGTCTTACCTTCTCTATTTCTCCGGGTACCCCCTGCGGCAGCATTAGTGAGTTGCCACGTCAGCAGGACGCGTCAGCAGCCACGTCAGCTGCCACGTCAGCAGCCACGCCAGCAGTAGGGAGTGCTACGTCAGCATGCCCCAGCCTGGTCTATGCCTACGCGCTCGAAAACAGCCGTCATGGACCAGATGTCCGGGGAAACAGACGAAGCCTATCAGGCCCGGATGCTGCTTCTGATTACCGAAGCCAATCAACGGTCGGATGCAGTAGCAGCTGCAACAAAGAAAGAGGTAGAGGACGCCGACAAGGCACGTTTGTTGGCAATTGAACAGCAGCACCAGCAAGACGAGGAAGCAGCAAAGGCTGCCGATGAAGAACGACTTCAACGACGCGAGAAGATATTCAGTGGAACGCGAGCTTTGCTCACAATTGCAGCGGACTGGCGGGCCGAGGCCGAGAATGGGGAGCTGCAAGAGAGTGGAAACAAGATCACTTTACTCCTCTCCCATCTCACGGACCTCCTGGCCACGTGCATTGCACAACAGGAGGACATTCACAACCTCGGCGACGCGGTTCAGACACACAATCAGGTGTTTGACCAACTCACCAACTGCCTCCAGCACCTGGAATAAACCGTCGCCGCCCCCGTTGCCAGCTCTTCCAACACCTCCGATCGCCTCGAGGCCTTAAAGATTGACGTCGAATCCCTCAAGGATTGCGTGCAGTTACAGCAAACTGCAACGCAACAATTGGAGCATCGGATTTGTACTGCCGCCAACCACTCGAGTTCGGAACCGCGCGAGACAACTCCAAAGTTCGATGGGCAGGAGATCTTCTGCGACTCGACGAAGACGGACCCGATTCCATGGTTCCACAAGTTTGAGCTCAAGTTGCAGCTCCACCCCGTCAGCGAACACAAGCACCACATGTACATATACTCCCGGTCGGGGGCGCGTGCCAAGCATGGTTGGACAATCTCTTGTCCAAGTACAGAATGGTGG